TATACTCGAGTCAATAAGTTTTCCCAGTTTTTTGTGGTAAAATTAGGTACCTCGGCTTATATTCGGGTCAACTTATACTCGAGTATATACGGTAATTCCATTTTGCATAAAATTTTTGGAGATGAGATGAGCGGTTCAGCGAAGTGAGGCTCCTTTTATACGAGTGATGTTGATTTGGCCATGCCCACTCAGTCATATGCCCACCTAGCCACTCCCATAAAACCGGTAGTAAAAAAAAGTGAATCCCCCCCACTGTATAAGGACTCATGGACTCAATTTATAACACCTTATCTAATAAAATATCCGAAAAATACTGATCTTTTTTACATGTAGCTACTGTTATCAGATCAGTATGAAGCAGTTTGTCTGAATGTGCCCAAATTTTGCTATGCTATATATAAAATTAGGCAAACTTTAATTGCCCACTCTTAATCTACCACCAATCGCAATACATTATTCTCTTTTATTTTTATGTTTTACTGTTATTGTTTAAATGTTTTTGTTTGTCTGTAATTGTAATTTTAAAAGTTATCCTAAACTGATGCGAATTGGCTGAATACCACTGGGACAAAGGTTGCTTAGGGGAAATTGAATGCTGGTTTGATTAGATAAATATTCAGTTTCTAAATCTTTTGATGAAAATTTAATTCCAGGAAATGTATATTTTGAAAATGTGTTTAGATAATGACATAAATTTTCCTTCTGACAAATACCATTGCTTATTATCTTTTCAAAATTTAGAATTATGCTAATACAGAACAAAAAGTATTTCATAACTCTTTTCATTCTTTTCATGTAAGTAAAAATGTACATTTTAATTGTATGTAAGTAAAAAAAATGTTTTGTTGAAATAAGCCACAAAGATTAATAACATATTCCATCTTTAAATCTTTAAGTTATGGTTTGGGCGCATTTATGTTCAACATTCATCAAGGCGAGCTCACTACATTGCTAGACACTCACTTGTGAGTTTGCAGTGGTAATACTGTTGTATGATTTTTCTTTATGTTAATGTGATAATTATCACCTTTTAAGTCGTGACAACAACAAGAGACACATGAACAATATAAAAAGTGTTTATTAGAAGCATTTGCAAAGGCTTGGCTCTTTCTCCTTTTGGGGAGGAGATAGGAGACATCTTCCATAGAAATCTATGACAGTTATATACATTTTCAGAAGCTCGGCCTTGTTACCATCTCCTCATCCTATTGGCTTATTTCTGGGTGGGGCAAGAGATTTTTTCCCGTAACTTCCATCCCATCTGTTTACTCATTTCCAGTCATCTCCATCCCTTTTGACATAATCTCCATCCTGTTTGGCAGCTGTTACTATTGTCAGCTTTATTAATTTTAGCATGACAGCTGGTCAGTCTGACCTGCCGATTATCTTTTGTGACCTGCCAACTATCTTTAACCAAAATGTGCAAAACAATCTTGTTATTGTAAATACAAAGAACATTCTTACACAATGTCTTACTTAATATTCCAGTAATATTCTGTAAAGTACTTTATGTTACTTGGAGGCCAAAAATGGCATTACCCTGGCTCTATCTAACTCTATCTAACAGGATTACTTCTTACATATCACTTCACAATCTGCTTCACTGAAGTTGATAAGTTTGAGGAAAACTGCTTATTTCATAATGGAATGCATTTGTATTTTTACACTAAACAACACTAAATTTTAACTATAGCTGTGTTGTCAAATTTTTACATTGTCAACCTCCAGAAACTGAATCACTCCATAATTAGAAGAATTACAAATTCTTCTACCATACATGTTTGAACAATATCATGTGCTTGTAGTGTTCCTGGTGAAATTCAAGTTTCATTTAGATTATTCTTCTACTTCAATGTTTATATGATAAAAAGCTAAATGCAAACCAAAATATGTTTTAGATGGGGATTGCTAATATTTTAGCCTTCTTTAACAACACTGTTGCCATCTGCTATATTTCTATCATTGCTTCACTAAACTTTAATCTGAGGTAGAAAGTTTTACTCTTTATTAAGTTATAAAATGGAGAACTTTTCTTTTCCAGATCCAAGAATGGACATTAAAACCTATGATGATTACTCCAGTTCACCGCTTCAGAGATATTGAGAGGAAACCAGAATATCTTCAACCGGACAAGTGTGTCCCACCTTCCAGCCACAGTTCCTCAGGAACAATGTGGTTTATTCGAGATGGTTGTGGTATTGCCTGTGCAGTTATCACTTGGCTCCTGGTATTTTATGCTGACTTTGTAGTCATCCTCGTAATGCTGCTTCCATCAAGAGACTATATTTATAGTGTAATCAATGGAATAGTTTTCAATACGTTGGCATTCCTGGCTCTGGCTTCACATTTGAGAGCAATGTTAACAGATCCAGTAAGTTTATTACTTTAAGAACGTTTCAAACTAATGTAAAGGCTCAGAAAAAAGAGCTACAAGAATATTCACAAAAGCACATTAATGGATGTAACAATAAACTTAGAAGAGAAACATTAAGAAGGGATTTGGCAATACAATTTAAATTTCTAAAAGAAATCTAAACAGAAGTAGAGTATACTGCTGCAAGTAGCGAAATTAGGCTTTTGTTATAGGGAGAGAGATTTAAATGGAATGTTAAAAAGTAATATATAAAGGCAGCTTTTAATGAAATATTTTTTTTCCTCTGGATATGTTTAAGAAAGGCTGTCAGGAATGCCTTAATTTGGATTCCTCCAGGTATTTGGGATTTAGATTCAGTAACTTAAATGACCATTCCAGCTCATTAAGTTAGGAACATGTGACTCAGTTGCCTTTTCTTTTGGTTGCTTTGTACCAAAAAAATTATAGAATGTGTAGAGAATATAAACTCTATAACTCTTGGTTTAATAGTATCATTTCTTAAAAACACACCTTTTATTTTTTTGTCTTTAATCATTACTTTAAATATGCATTGTAGACTATTACATAAGAAATTGTTAGGATCCTCAAACAGCACAATATGGATCCATTTTTTTCTTTGGGTTTTTTTTTCCTTTGGTTTTTGGGGAAAAAAATACACAGATGAAGATTTGTATAGGAGTCCTTTTTTCTTATCTGTTTCAATACATGTAATATTGACAGCATACCATGACATGAAAAGCTGGAAAAACCTGTTTTATGTGCTTGTCTTTTTAAATAATTATATTGTATTTTGAATGAAAAATGCTTTTTCATCTTGAGTAGAGAATAATAGTTATACATCTATAATCACCCTCCAAACAACAATTTCCACTAGTCTCTGCCAGCAGAGAAACTTGCTATAATGACTGGGGATGATGGGAACCAAAATGCACATACCAAGCAATGGTAAAATTTTATCCAAATACATTTTAAAACACTTAAATAACAGGCATTGAGTTCTTCACAGCGTGGATGTGAATCTTATTAAAAACAAAAAGCAGAATTGAGTTTTAAAATCAATTTTGAATTTCATGTTTACAGCAAATTGAATTTTCCCTTGAATAATGCTGTTTTATAGTTTGAGCACCCTCGTCTCTAATAGAAATTAAATTGAAAATGAATGAATTTAGTGAAAATATTTTCCTTTTTGTGAAAATATTTCTAGGCACTTACCTTTATAACTGTAGATACAAAGAGATGCAGCTTAGGAGTGCTCCTATATCTATCTATTTGTTGGCAGTTCCTTAAAGCACTTCAGTCTTTTCATAGGATTTGTATTCTGGCCTCTGCAGCTGACCACAGGAAAAGACATGCTAGTTTAAGGGCTGTCGAAAGGTGCTTCAGGTAGTCCTTGATTAATGATGGGAATTGGGACGGGCAATTCTGTTGCTAAGCAGTGCAATCATAAAGTTAATGTCATGTGACTGTAGTGACTTACAGTGGCAGTTGCAGCAATTTTAGTTGTTACTATGCAAATCTCACATGTAGCAATGTCCTGTGGTGATGCCTGCCATTTGAGACCTCCTGCTGGTTTCCCCAGCGACTGCTTCTTGGAAGTGAAGGTTGCAAATGGTTAACATATAATGCAGAATGCTTTGCCTATCAAAATTGCACACCAATTTTCAAGTGCCCAAATAGTAATCATATGACCTCAGGGACACTGACAGTCACACTGTGTCATATTTGAACAGACACTGAGGACCACTTGTATTTGCATGTATTTTGTATTTTCTTATAATAAAGATTTCAGTTATTCTTAGGTAATGAAATCTGTTATAATTATGTGTGTGTTTAAACTCACAAAAATATATTGAAGTTAGTTACAGCCAAATTAAAATGACATGAAGCTGGAAGATATGTTGCCATATTTAGACAAATGCAGCTAATTTTTTTTTACAGTGAATTTTCTCATTTTTGCACCTGCACAAAGTAGCTCCTTGTGGAAAAAATGAAATATCTCAATTGGTTGTTAGAGTGCAACTTGAATATAGCTTCATAACTACAGTTAGAAGAGAATATTTGTAACTCAGGTTGAACGGTTGGGTCTTTGATGCGCTCTGAACTTGATGGTTTTCTTGCAGATGTTTTATTACCAAATTAAATAACATCATCAGTACTTGCATCAAACTCAGGGAGCAGCATGGACTCCACAGCTTAATAACTCTCAAATAGCTTTTAATGAGATTTGTACTATTATAGAAATCATATTTGGCATGATTAGATTTTCCACAAGTCTTAAAAAGGGAATAGGTACCTAGTGTTTTCCAATTGTATTTGCTATAATTCCCTTATGCTAAGGGGCCACTAAAATTAATTGGAAACATCAGTAGAACATGAGTTCATTGGATGAATCAAAAGCTGCAATTGGTAGTTGGGTTCACCTCAATAGTGCTGACTTAAAACAGAAACTGGGCCTCTAATTCCAGTTTTACTGGTTCTCTTTGAATTCTCTTAAGAATAGTTGCAGAAAAAATGCTTGAAAGCACACATATATTTATTTGTTCCTTATAGTAATTATCTGTTTTCTGGTGATTTTCCTTTGATTAAATATGTTGGGCACAGCATATATTTGTAGAAAGTTGTTTTCTGGTACTGTACTTCAGACTAAATATTTCAACCATTATAGGAGTTTGCTTGAACTCATGAGGACTACATATTCCTCTGAATCTCTTGTGTTACTATGAGGATGGTTGCTGGACTAGTAATGTTTACTGGAACTTATACAATCATAAATGACATTTAATTTTTTTATTCATTATAAATCCCTTATAATGTTTCCATATTAACAAGATAGAAAAATCATGCTTTACTTAATTGCATATGGGCTTATATTGCATATGGGCTTCTATAGCAAGAAAGCTTGTCATAAAATTTATATTTATAATCCTATCATATGAACTTCTGTTTTCTTGTCATATTTACCATGTGTAAAATGAATGGTATTGAAATCTTCAGGTGGTAATATATTCTGTAAATACCTACAGTTTCTCAATGATCTCATTATTTTCATTGCAGAATATCCACCTCTACCTTAATCTCTGAGATCCTTCCCTTTATTCTCTCAGCCTCTTCCATTATTGTCAGGAAAAGCTTTAGCCATTTTTTTTTCTTATGTTTCTCTTCCCAAATTCCTTAACCCAAAATAACTGTATCGTGGTCTACATTTAGAACAAAACTGATCTGATTCATATCTGTGTATCTACACCGAACATATTTCTGGCTAGCATTCTAGACATGGAATGCTTGCATGCATAGGTAATCCTCATATTAGGACAGTAATTGGGACTGGAATTACTATCACTAAGCCACATGTTCATAAACTATTATGTCATTTGATTGCACATTTTAGCTTCAGATTCAAAGGGCTAGCCCCATGATGGCGAACCTATGGCATGCGAGCTCCAGCCAAACTAACCTGCACTGCGCATGCATGCGCCTCCCAGCTGATTTTCGGCCCATTTGAGGCTGTTTTCATCCATCCAGAGGCTCAAGGAAAGCCTCTGCCGGAAGTGCCGAAACTGGCCCGTTTTCTGAAAATGGCCTCCTCCAGGTTCCAGAGGCCCTCCAGAGGCTGAAAACAAGCACTTCCTGTATTTCCAGAAGGCCCATTTTTCGGCCTCCAGAGGCTGCAGAGGCTTCCCTTGAGTCTCTGGGAGGGCAAGAACGGCCTCAAACGGGCCAAAAATCAACTGAGATGCGCAGTGCAGGTATGGGGGTGTGGTGGGGGTGTTACGCATGCATGCTCGGGGGGGGCACATTGCATTGTGGGTTTCCAGGACATGCTATTGTGCATATGTACGCTATTGGTACACCGCAGCAAAAAGGTTCACCATCACTGGGCTATACCTTTGTAACATGCATTGTCATTAAGCTTTCCTAAATTCTATAATAGGGCCCCCAGAGTGTTCTGATTGTGACCCAGTGTTCTTGCACTGTTTATTTTCACTTAGGGTGCAGTGCCCAAGGGTAATGCCACAAAAGAATTCATAGAGAGCTTACAGCTGAAGCCAGGACAAGTAGTTTATAAGTGCCCAAAATGCTGTAGTATCAAACCGGACAGAGCACATCACTGCAGGTAATTATAATACATCATCATCATGATCTATTTATGTTACTATTGTATTTTTCGCACTATAAGACGCACCTGACCATAAGACACAGCTAGGTTTAGAGGTGGAAAACAAGAAAAAAAATCAGGCAGAGCCTGAGAGGACCATATATATCCTCTCATGTGCCAGCTTTGTCTATTGACTCCTGCACTGCGGAAAAGAGACAGAAGAGGCGGGCAATGACAAAGACAGAAGAGGTGGGGTTCAGTACTGTAAAAGGATCCCGCCACTGCAGCCTGGCTGCTATTCACTAAAGGACCGGCACTGACATGCAGACATTTCCACCCACTTTTAGCTGGGGGGAGGTGCATCTTTTGGAGCAAAAACTATGGTAAATTGAGGCATCAGCATTAATCTAGCATGTGAATCACTCATCTATTAGTATGATTTTAGCACATTTCTACATTTTTATTTGTTTTAATTGTGTTGCAAAACTCAGTATAATTCAGAACTGAATTTTGTAACATCTTTAAACTTACTGCTTAAAAAAGCAGGTTTGTATACCTATTAATCTGTAATGTGTTAATTTATTCATTTTGAGTTATGTGGTAGTTTAGACTTGTTTCCACTGATAGATCCACACATCTGGAAAAATACTTTCCTGGTATGTGTTTGCTTGTGTGTGTGCGCACATGTACACATAAACACAAACACACACAAGGGCAGTATTTTATGGATGTGTGGATATCTATTCCCTTCCTCTGAAGATATCTGTGGGCCTAGCATTCTGTCCAAGCCCTCAAAGTCTTCTGGTAGCAGGAAAATCACAAAAATATGGACACCTGCAAGGGAAGACCATTTTCCATTTTCTATGATGTACAAACCAGTCCCATCAGGTGGGCTTTTATGAGGCATTGGTGGAAATGGTACAGTCTCATACTATATACATGATCCTGCTTTTTATTCGTATGTTTATTTCCTCTATAAATAACACAGCTGGAAGACAGCTTGGATATGCATGAAGGCTTTAAAATGATCTATGGATTTTTTCAGTAGTGAGTTTATTATACTTGTCTTAGTTCTCATGTATGAAGTGTTGTCTTCAAGACTTCAAAAAAACTTTTTCTGATCAGAAGCCGGAATTGTATAGTGGTGACTGACCAGGCTTTATATAATTGTAAATCATTTCACACCTATATCTGATCTTAGTTGATAGTTGTATACCGTATTAGTGGATTGTCCCTTGTGTCAAATCATAAAACATCTGCTCTCAAAAGTTATAAAAAGAGGTCTCATGGCGAGGGGGAATGAACACGGTGAGGGGGATTGAACACCGGCGTGAAAAGAACATGCAGAAGTTAGTGGAACACCTTCCCCCACATTTGCTCTGATAGATATTTAAAGTATGAAAGGAAAGGTAGTATAGAGTTTTGATCCCGAGTAACATGTATGCTCATACAGAAGCAGAAATAGGATTAAAATGCACTCCATAGCACCAGTATACACAGGACAGAAGGTGAATGCATGTAGTCAGTGAAAAAAGTTAATCTGCTAATTAGCATGGAGTTTATTGTGAATTGCATTTCAAAAATGCTGAAAATTTTCAAATCCCCCCCCCCACTAACTAGTATTTAAGTTACATTTAATAACTGAAAACTTAACTGAAATAAGTAAAAATGAAATAAAAACTAGAACCTCTAAAACAATTAGAGATTTGCAGCAAAGTTTGCCATTTATAATGCTCCAAATCTAATATTTACTTCTACTTTAAATGACTGTGAATCTAAGAAAGTATGAAAAGTCATTGTAGATTTTGACAAAGTGAAAATATTTATTCCACAGTTTGGTATCTATAGAAGACCAGTTTCTCAATGTAGTTGGGATTATATTTTAATTTGTGGTGTTTTTATTTCCTTTTAGTGTTTGCAAGAGATGTATACGGAAAATGGATCACCACTGCCCATGGGTTAATAACTGTGTAGGAGAGAACAACCAGAAATACTTTGTACTGTTTACTGTAAGTAACACTGTGTGAGTGATCTGTGTAACTATTGAAATTGGCCCTGAAACTTCAAGTAGATCTTGCTCAATTTTTCTCCAGTTAGCTGCTCCGAGCATCCAGCAGTGGGAGGTGCTTAGACTTAGCTTGGATAGGCTGGGCTTGATTGATAGGACGCTCCTCCTCCTCCACATACTCCTCCTTAATTTCCCCCAGTTTTTAGCTCAGCCTTCGTAAGGTAGGCAGCTTGGTTTTTTCCTTGGCCAGACTAGGAGAAATTAAACAGGTTTGAATTACAGTTTAAACTTTATTTCTAAATCTATTTCAAAAGAAACATTACTTTGACGGCAAATTGGCAAAGTCTGCCATCTGAACACAATTCGGCTCCCCAGGGAGCTCTCAGTCGCTTCCGTGATAATCGGAAGCATTCACATCCACTTTGTTGAGGTAATTCCTTGTTAGGAGAATGAGCGCATACAGGGAGATGTATTGAGAGTGGTGAAGAATAATACACAAACAGCACACAGATACACTGAACAGCAAATGTAGGTTTTTACTTCCAATAAACTTTTAAGCACAGTCCAAGATAAGCAGTCCAAGTCATTCACAGGTAAAGCAGTCAGTGTTCAGTTCAGGGATAATCCAAATATCAAAGCCCAGTATCAACAACAGTTCAGTAACAGACTTACATCAACGATCAGTAACAGTCATTAGGAGGAATGGCAACTCTCTCCAACAGAAGGAATAGAAAGACTCACTGAGACTTTCTGAGACACTCTTCAACAACCCAGGTTTCTGGCTCCATCTTATGGCTGTTTGCGGAACCACACCCAATTACAGTTTTAGCATTTTCTTAAAGACATAGTATTAAAATGTCTATCCTGGTTTATATATTTCCAACCCAAATAACTGTTAGGTGACTTACATTCCTAACACACTTGCCATCGCGAAGGCACTTAGATCAGCTTGACATCATGAAGCCCTGCCGCTGAGCCACTTTAGAAGACGAGCGGCAAGTTTTAAACTGTCACGGCTTTTCTTTGATTCCCCAAACAGAACACCTAAAAGGAGGGGGCTTCTGAGCTCCAATTCTCCTTTAATCACTTCTAATTGTTTGTGTTGCATCGGCTTGTGGAAAGGGCTGACGGTTGCTGCTGATTTTTGGCACCTAAAATAACCGCCGGCACCATTTTTTGCACAGAAATCCGATTGAGATAGCTATTTCTAATTGATCTGTTGAGAGGCCATTTCCCCTCACAGGGCTCTTTCTCAAGGGTTCAGGGGACAAATTATTCAATTTTTTGACCTCTTTCTGAGGTTTATTATCAGAGACTAAGCTCACAGAGGTTAGCAGCACAGCAACAGCTAGCACCAAGGCCAGTGTCCGCCTGTGCAGGAAGCTGTTGAGGGCCAGTGATAACAGGATCACTTATGTTTAAATTCAGGCCCTGAAAGGTGTTCTCAAATTGCTTATAACAATTTGGCTGCTAAATTTCAGACATTAGATTATCTGACTGGTGACAGCATATGTAGATGATATCTGTGCACAGATATAATTGAAATATATATAAATGTAATAAGGATATCTTGAAAATAATAATAATAATAATAATAATAATAATAATAATAATAATAATAATAATAATAATAATAATAATAGGATTAAAAAGGGGAACAAACATTAAGAAAGTTCCCTACCTCTGATTAGAGCAGGCCCCTGGACTAGCCAACGGTCCATACATACCACATACAAATATATATTTTTTCACATAACACATAACATATATATACGTATATAGCCTCATAGGCTTAGGTCAAAGGTTGCAGTGTCAAGCAAAAATAACATCAGAGTGCCATCCAAGCCATCATCATGAGCCCAAAATAAAACGAAATATTCTGGGGAGAATTCTAAGGCCGCAGAAAAAGATGCCAAGAGATGCCAAAAGGCGTTAGAACAGCATATTAAAAAATGCATGAGGGAGACTGAACAGAGGTCTCAGTCCTCTTCCCCAGCCAGGTCGGTTCCAGTTCTAGACTCCTTGCCACCATCCCTGGATCTGTCAATGCCAACCAGGAAGGCCTCAGCTGGACCAGTTCAATCCAGGCCTTCAACATCGCTACTGGTCAGGCGGGCCCCAGAGGCAACTTTACCCCAGCAGCAGCAAGACTAGGCCAAGATGACCTCCTCCCAGAGGATGTCCCAGAAAAAATGAAGGCCTGGATAGAGATGGTGATCAGAAGAGGCATCACCGCTGGGGTACAACAGATGACGATGGCCAGGCAGCCTCCATCTTCTGTATTTGACTCACATTTAATCCAGTCGTTATGCAGAATGGACCTTCATTATCAGCAGGTGCCTCCCCCAGAGGAGTTTATATGATTCAACGTACACATTCACACTATGTACAGGATGAGGGAAAACAAGAGGACCCTTGGGGAAGGGTCTATACACGACAGTGACCAGGTCCTGTCAGAGATGGATGCTCTGGAAAGAGGCATGTCAGATGATGAAGGCATTAAGCCAGTCCAACCAGTCTTTACGGGCCTGTTCCACCCTCAACTTTTCAAATCTCTGTTATTCAAGGCAAAAACTACTGCTCGCCTTGATATCCCCTCCCACTCGGTCCAACAATCTGTAGTACAAGGGGAATCAGAAGATTTGATTTTCTCCCAACCAATAACGGAAGAGGACATCATACCTGTTCCGCAGATGTTCTTGGACCTTGTCCAGAAGCAATGGGCCTCTTTGCAGGGTAGATCTTCTCTCAGATGGCTCCGTCATCTGAGGGAAACCATTCCAAATTCCAACATCAGGGCACACCAAGACATAGCCAAACTAATAGCAGCCGCAGAATTCTCTGCAGACGCTACATTCAATTCTGTCAAATTCTCTGCTTGAGCCATAGCATCTCAGGTCACAGCTCGCCGGTTGCTATGGCTCGGACATTGGAAGCAGATATTAAACACAAATGGAAGCTTGCCTCTTCCCCAATATCGGGAGACAAATTGTTTGGTGCGGCTTTGGGCCCGCTTCTGAGACTGAAGCAAGAAAAAGATCCTCCCCTCTCTTTTTCGTAGATCAGAAAACAGACCTTCCCAGCCCTTTAGGAGGGGTTCCTTTCGTCCCTTCTACCAGGGACAATACTCTTCAAGATTCCAGAGTTTCTGGATTCAAGAACAACCAACAGCCTGACAGATCTGACCTTGGAGATAGATACCAGAGGGGAGGGCAAGGTAAAAGACCTTTCTGTGGGGCAGGAAATAGAGGTTTCTGATGCCCAAAATAGGCTCAAGGACTGTGCCCCTATTGGCAGAAGACTAAAACTTTTTGCAAACAGATGGCTTTCCTCTACCTCTGATTCCTGGGTTAGAGATACCATCAGACTTAGCCTGGCTCTGGAATTTCAATCCACTCCCCTGAACTTTTGCATGACATGCCCTTTACCCAGGAATCCTGTTAAAAGGAACCTGATGGAAACAGCTATCAAACATTTATTGGAGATCCGGGCAATCTGACCTGTGGCACCGGATCAGCAAGGGCAAGGTTTTTATTCACTACTGTTTCTAGTTCCAAAGAGTTCAGGGGAATGGAGGGCAATTTTAGATTTAAAAAGACTCAATCATTCCCTGGTGTATTGGAGATTTAAGATGAGTACACTGCAATCCATTTTACTCAGTATAAGAAAGGGCGATGTTTTAACATCCATTGATTTAACAGAGGCCTATTTGCACATCCCAATTAGACCATCACACAGGAAATTTTTTAGATTTTGAATACGTTGCCCTACCTTTCGGGTCATCTGCCCCGAGGACATTTTCAAAGGTGTTGGCAGCTCTGGCCGTCCACCTCAGAAGTATACCTGCAGTGTTACTTAGACGACATTTTTTTATCATCATCACACAGACAAGCTGAAATAGACACTCAAATCACCTTATGAACCCTCCAACATCACGGTTTTTCCATTAACTGGGTAAAGAGTCATCGTCAACTAGCTTGAGTCACCTGGGCCCTATTATAGATACAGTTCAATGAAAAGTTTTCATATCCCCAGAAAGATTAGACAGCATTAGGAAATTAGCTCAGGAAATTAGAACCTTTAAGCGTGTTCCCCTTGCCAACTTATCAACATTATTGGGGAAAATGATATCCTGTATTTCTATCATTCCATGGGCTCAGCTCCACGCTAGAACTCTCCAATGGTACCTTCTTCCATTCCAACAATCGGGAAGAAGCAGCTCCAAGGCCTGTGTCATTGTGCCACCGAAGGTTCTGATAGCCCTGCGCTGGTGGACCATTCCGAACATCAACAAGGGTTGTCCTTTCAAAGAACCCCACAGACTCACCATCACTACAGATGCCAGCCTGTTTGGATGGGGAGCTCACTTCCAGTCCCTCACAGTTCAGGGGTGTTGGTCGGCAACAGAACGGTTGCTCAGCATAAACTAGTTGGAACTCAGAGCAGTCCACCTGGCTCTTCGAAGTTTCCTCCCATATATTTGGGCAAAGAACATCCTTATACTTACCGACAACATCACGACAAAGGCCCATATAAACAGGCAAGGGAGTACTCACTCGAGACATCTTATGAGGGAAGCGGAGAGGCTGTGCCAGAAAAGAACTTGATCTCCATAAGAGCAGAGCACATCTCGGATTTGTCAAACACCCAGGCGGACTGGTTGAGAAGGGCCACAGTCGACCAGTCAGAGTGGCACCTGAATCCAAGTTTGTTTCAGGAAGTGGTACAGAGATTTGGGCAGCCGCTCATAGATCTATTCGCTTCTCCTCTGAACTCACAGCTTCCAAGTTTCGTCTCAAGGTACCCAGCTCAAGGGGTGGAGAAATCAATACTCTTCATTGTCAGTTACCCCCAGGTCTCCTGTATGCTTTCCCCCCTCTTCCAGTGATTCCCAGGGTGATCTAAAAACTGTTGGAAGAAAAAGCGGAGCTGTTGTTGGTGGCATCATACTGGTCCAGGATGCCATGGTTTGCGGACCTCAGGGATCTGTCAACACAAGATCCTTGGAGGATTCCCCCACAAAGGGTCTCACTCACCCAGAGTCTGATTCAACACCCGGCCCCTCAGTGGCTCCACCTAACTGTATGGAGGTTGAATGGAGACATTTGAGGAGCGAAAATCTTTCGCACAGAGTAATCAACATGATTCAAGCGGCCTGATGCCCTTCAACAACAGCATATACAATGCCACATGGAATATTTTCTATAAATGGTGCGCAAAATCCAACACTGATCCTCTCTCTGTGTCAGTGGCACAAGTATTGGGCTTCCTTCAGGTTTTTTTTGACAAGGGTCTCTCACTGAACACCTTGAGAAAACAGGTGGTGACCCTGCCCTCCGTGGTGACCTGGAAAGGTTTAAGATCTATCTCACATCACCCTCGCATACGGAGTTTCCTTCAAAGGGGCGCAACAAATTTATGCCCTCCGGTGGTACATCGTTACCCGACCTGGGATCTTAACAAAGTACTCATGGCCCTCACAAAGGCTCCTTTCGAACCACTGAAAACCACGAGTCTCCATTTTCTTACTTACAAGGTGGTTTTCTTGGTAGCAATAACATCAGCACATTGTATATCAGAACTAGCAGCCTTATCAGCTGACAAGATCTCTGCATTTTTCATTCTGACAGAGTGGTTCTTCGTCCAGACCTGACATTCACCCCCAAAATTAATTCAGTCTTTCACAGGACACAAGAACTTGTCCTTCCGAACTTTTGTCCAAGACTGTCTCAGGGGTTAGAACATCAATGGCATTGACTAGATGTCAGGAGAGCTCTGCGTACGTACTTACACCGCATGGCTCCTTTTAGGAGGTGCTGTTCGTTTCCTTTCAGCCAACCACTCAGGGACATAAGGTATCACCTTCAACTATAGGCAGGTGGTTGAAAGCAGTGATTGCTAAGGCATACGAAACTCAATCATTACCAGTGCCCAGGGGCATAACAGCGCATTCCACCAGGAGCACTGCAACTTTAGCAGCTTGGGCCACACAAGCACAAATAACAGAAGTATGTCATGCAGCAACATGGGCTTCCCCATCGCCCTTCATCAAACATTACAAAATTGATGTATTTGCATCAGCTGAGGCCTCCTTTGGTAGGAGAGTTCTGCAACAGGTCTACAGGGACCATGAGGGGACTCCACTCCAGATGGAGACCCTCCCGTAGGACAAGCCAGGCTTTGGTATGTCCCACTGCTGGATGCTCAGAGCAGCTCATTGGAGAAAGGGTGTTGGTACTTACCTGATACGCCTGTTCTCTGTGAGCTGCGATGAGCATCCAGACCCACCCAATTTCCATCTGGTGGTTTCCTGGTCCAGCTAATGACTACGAAAAAAACAAGGTGAGGGTTACATCTCTTCATCTTCGCAAAAACTGGGGGATGCTAAGGAGGAGTACGTTGAGGAGGAACATCCAATCAATCAAGCCCAGCCTATCTGAGCTAAGTCTAAGCATCTCCTACTGCTGGATGCTTGTCACAGCTCACAGAGAATGGGTGTATCAGGTAAGCAAAATACTCTTTTTGACACTTCCTCCAAAACTAATCAAAAGGAGATACCTATGAGATGATGCTTGAAGATGCTTGAAGCAAGTTAAAAAATAGTCGCCCAGTGAAGTATGGCTTCTCAAAGTGTATTACTGCACTTTAAATCATAAGTTCTAATTCTAGCCATTTCATTTGCTTAATATTGTATCATATTCCATCACCAAAGTAGTCTGATTCCCTGTTTAACAAATAAAAGTAAATGAGAGAGAGCATGAATTGGAGGACAAAGTTTTGTTTTGCCCCAGTGCATGCACAAGGGGTGGCGAGTGCAGGACCGACTGTGTCCAGCAGCAGCTGCAGCCCAATGGCCCCTTGGCACACTCAGGCTATGCAGCCTGTGCAGTGCAGGTGAGTTGTTTACCTATCAAAGCAGCAGAGGGAGGCAAGTGATCCAGATACACAGCGCGGGAAAGCTGAGAGTGCATGGCTGCACTGGCAGCAGACAGGCAGAGGTGCCAGGGGCAGGCAGGGGATTCTGCATCATGAGGGCCACAGGGAACCCAAGAGATGTGATGACAAGCTTCCTGCAGCTTCCTGCCCACTCTGTCTCACCATCTCTTGGCTTGCCTGTGGCCTGTGTGGCATGTCGGGATCGCCTGTCTTCCCTCCTTGCACCTCTACCTTTGTCTGCTGCTAGTGCCGCCATGCAAAGACGAGTCTCCCACAAGTGGCCCACTCTTGCCCACTGACTAGGCATTTCCGCCACCTGCGTGTTGCATCTGGATCAAATGCCTTCCCCATCTCTGCTTCTTTGTGCTGCTTGGACAGATAATCAACTCACCTGTGTTGCATGAGCTGCATCTGCTGCTGGACACTGTCAGCCCCCACACTGTTGTGGACTGTTGGCCACCGGCCCTCCAGCAGCCAAATCAGAGGAGGAGGAGTGCTGTTGTGGCTTGTTGGCCACTGGCCCCTCCAGCATCAAGGCAACCTGAGAGCTCTGAGGTGGAACAGGGAATGGAGCTGGCAGAGAGAGAGAGACTGAGATGGAGCCTGGACCATCTGTCAGCCCTCAGATGGAGAGTCAACAGCCCCCAGATCTAGAAGTGGCTGATGAGGAAGAGGAGGAACAGCTGGGTCCAGTGCCTGATGTGCAGAAGGCAGAGGAGAGGAGAACAGTGGAAATCCATGGACCAATCCTTGAGAAGAAAGAGCTACTGCTGTTAGTGAAGCTCCATCCTAGCTCTGGGGATAAAAGGCAGGGCAGAGATGAACAGATGTGGCAGACAACTATTCATTTTCCATCCGGACTTGTGAGAAAGAAACTTTTTGCTGAGTTGACTAGGCATTACTAATAAAGGAGTCTTTGGGTTAACTTCAGAGGGTTTGTTATGTTTGGGGAGCTGAGTCAGAACACTTGCCCTCACCACCTGCAGTTGCTGCCCACGCCCACCCCACACACCCCAGCTGATGACAACTTTAATTGGGCTTATGGGGGGGGTAAGGCTTATATTAGGAGCATGCTAAAAATCAGGCTAGGGCTTATTTTCTGGTTAGGCCTTATTTTCAGGGAAATACTACAGACAGTATTCAGACCCCTTTCACTTTTGACAATTTTGGCTTTGTGAATGTCCTAGACCAGGGGTGTCAAACTCAAGGCCCAGGGGAACTTGAGAAGATTGAGAGGATTCCAAAGAAGAATGGCAGAAAATCCCCCAATCCAGGTGTGCAAAACTTGTCACATAATACCAAAAAAGACTTGAAGCTATAATTGCTGCCAAAGATGCTTCAACTGAGTACTGAGTGAAGGGCCTGGATACTTATGTCAATGAGATATTTCAGTTTTTTTTCTTTTTAATAAATTTACAGACAATTTTAAAATTCTGTTTTCACTTTGTCATTATGAGATACTGGGTATATATTAATGAGAAAAAATGAATTTCAACATTGTAGAATCAGGCTGCAGCATAACAAAATTGACAAAAGTGAACGGGGTCTGAATATTCTGAATGCAATGTATATCTTATGCTTCAAACATAAATAGTTCAAGATATGAGCTTGCTGTCATTTGATTTTCAGTAAATATAGGGACCGTGTTGTTTCAAGATTTTTAGGGCAAAGATTTATGAAACCATTGTTCTTCGTATGTATCATAAAAATAATTCTGTGCTATATTTTGTATATATTGTTTCACTTTCTTATTCAATGTTCAAATCTGTCTTAATATTTCAAATTCTATTTCAGATGTATATAGCACTAATTTCTCTGCATGCTCTAATCATGGTTGGATTTCACTTCCTATATTGTTTGGAAGAAGACTGGACAAGTGAGTATCGGCAATGTAATATTTTGAAAGTAAACTTCCCAATTGTATAACCCACACAAAAGAGATTTGAATGGGTGATTACATATTTCCCAATAATATGTTTCTCCTTAATTTTATAAGATCATCTTAACTTTCTTTTCCCCTCCTCCCCATGAGGAAAAAAAAACATATCTCCTAAAGAAAATCAACTATAAGATTACTTGAGTTAGGCTGATCAGAAATACCTGTGGTCTTTCTATCTTCATCATGAACATGGTGAGAACTCAGGAAATGGTCTCAATTAATAATTCTCCCTGAAATTTCCCTTAGAAAAAGTAGGCACATAATGCTTTCAATGCCCCTATTGCATATTTACTTTGTATGCCCATGGGGAACACTATTGACCCCTGTTGTAAGATAAGAAGGCTGTGAGGCAGGATGGAAATTATGTGCAAATAGAAATGAAGTGCAGTATTGGAACAAAACCTGTAGAGAAACCATGCTTTTTCTCACCAGAGGTAAAGGTAAAGGTGTAGCCCAGCACATCCTCAAAAGCAGTATGGGGACCTGGGGTTTACTGGCAGCCTATGATTCTGTCCACCATTTTTCTAAACAATAGCCCTTGAAAAATTATATAACTATTGTTTTTTTTTTTAATAATTTTTTTTTTTAATAACAAAATAAACATAAACATACATAACAAAATAAACATAAACATACCACAAAAAACATAAAAAGATCCTTCTTCATAAATTTACATACAGTGCATCGATTGGTTTACCACTTTTTTTTGTGCATCCATTTCCTAGTCACCAGTATAATTATATTACATAATAGCTCATATTATCAATCAACAATTGTATAACCTAATATCATCACTAAAAAAAATATTAAAAAAATCATTTTTAATTTTGTTAATTCATATTTTAACGAGATAACTATAGTTTGCTTAATTTATTTTGCAATAAATCATAAGATCATACCAAATCTACCTTAATAATGTTTTATAAAGATAATATTAAGAAAAAAAAATTTTTTTTATGCTAAATCTGAATATTCTATCATTATGTTTTATTATCTAACCATTGATAAAAAAGATCCCAAACTTCATAAAATTGTTTATCTTCTTGTTCTCTGATTTCAAATGTCAGTTTGCTCATTTCAGCACAATCCAATATTTTCTTAATAATTTCTTCTTCTGATGGAATTTTCTCACTCTTCCAGTTCTTAGCAAATACAATCCTAGCCGCTGTTAATATATTTACAATCAGATACTTCAAATTTTTATTATATATATCCGGTAAGATTCCCAATAAAAAAATCTCTGGTTTCAAGTCTATATGTGTCTTTGTCATTTTTTCCAACCATATGCGTATTTTAGTCCAATATTTTCTAGCGTCCTCACAAGTCCACCACATATGGTAGTATGAGCCAGGTATCTGATGACATTTCCAACATTTTTCAGATTTGTTCTTAAACATTCTTGCAATTCTTGTCGGGGGAAAATGCCACCTGTAAAACATCTTATACAAGTTTTCTTTATAAGCTGTTGACATTGTCATTTTATAATTTTGAGACCACAATTTTTCCCAATTCTCCAAATCAATCCCATATCCAAAATTCTTCCCCCAAACAATCATCGTTTCTTTAACTTGTTCCTCCTCTAATAAAATTTCCAACAAATAAGTGTATAATTTTTTAATCATTTTTTCATCAGTACCTGTCAAGATCCTGTCTAGATCAGTCAATTTATCATAAAATCCCTCCACTTTAGAATCTATAAGATACCTTGAATGTATTTGCGCATATGAAAACCAATTCATCTTTATGCCTTGTTCTTCTAGTTTTTGCATTGTTTTAAGTTCACTCTTTTCATCCAATATTTCCCCATATCTAGCTGTTTGTTCCTTCTCATATATTATAGAATACGAAAAAGCTTCAATAGTTGATAACCAGACTGGGATTTTCAAATAACATTTTCTCTTAATTTTCTCCCAATTCAACCATAAAGACTCCCTTATATAATGCCTTCTAAAATAGCCCTGTGATTTGGTTCCCTTATACCACAGAAAAGCATGCCATCCCAGTAATAAATCATGCCCTTCTAGAGTCAACAATCTAGTCTTTCTTAATGTTATCCAATCCTTAACCCACATTAAATTTGCAGCTTGGTAATACAACTCCCAATTCGGGAGGCCAAAACCTCCTCTAATTCTAGCATCTTGCAGGAGTTTTAATTTTATTCTGGCTTTCTTACCTTGCCATATGAACTTCAACACAATTTTATTTAATTCTTCAAAGTAATCTTTACCAAGCCTGATTGGTATGGTTTGGAATAAATATAAAATTCTGGGTAAAATATTCATCTTGATTGTTGATATTCTACCTATCAATGACAATTGTAGATTTTCCCATTTTTTCAAATCAGATGCTATCTGTTGTTTAAGTTTGATATAGTTATTCTCTTTCAATGTAGTACATCTTGACGTCAAATATATCCCCAAATATTTGACCTTATTCGTAACTTGAATTTTCGATAAATCTGCCAGTTCATCTCTTTGTTTTAATAACATATTCTTTGTCAAGATCTTTGTTTTATCTTTGTTTATTTTCAAACCGGCCATCTCACCATAAATCTCTATCTTTTCCAATAGCTTTAAAGCTGTTCCTAGAGGATCTTCCAAAATAAAAACCAAATCATCCGCAAAGGCTTGTAATTTAAATTCCTCCTTCTTAATTTTCATTCCTTTTATATTTGGATCCTCTCTAATGTTTCTATTCAGCACTTCCAAAGTCAATACAAATAACAAAGGTGATAATGGGCAACCTTGTCTTGTGCCTTTTCTTATATTAATAGAATCTGTAAAATCTCCCTCTATCATCACTCTCGCCATTTGTTTGTCATATATGGCTTCTATTGCTTGAATAAATTTTCTAGCAAAGCCCATCTGTTCCAATAACAAAAACATGAATCTCCAATTCACATTATCAAATGCTTTTTGGGCATCTAAAAATACCAAAGCCATTTGTTTTTCAGGGTATGCCTCGTAATATTCCAAAGTGTCCAGAATTACCCTCATATTATCCCTAATTTGTCTCCTTGGCAGGAATCCATTCTGGTCAGGATGAATAAAGTTATTTAGATATCTTTTGAGCCTTTCTGCCAAGATGGAAGCAAAGATTTTGTAATCTGCATTCAGTAAAGAAATAGGTCTATAGTTCTTAATTTGTGATGGATCAGCCCCTTCTTTTGGAATAAGTGTGATATAAGCTTCTGACCATGTTTTAGGTATTTTCTTATTTAACATGGCTTCATTCATAACTTCTAACAATGGAATGCTCAACGATTCTTGTAATGTTTTATAAAATTCTGCCGGGAGCCCATCTGGGCCTGGTGCTTTTCCATTATTCTGCCTATTAAGTGCTTCCGTTAGTTCCATCATTGTTATGGTACTTTCTAACATTTTTTCAGTCTCTTCAGGTATCTTGGGTAGGTTAGCATTTTGTAGATAAAGCTTAATTCTTTCCTCATCAAAATCCTCCTGTTTATATAATTGTCCATAAAAGTCTTGGATAATTATCTTTTTCTCCTTGTTACCATAACAAATTTGACCTTTATCATCTATTAACTGTACTATTCTCCTAGATTCTTTCTCCTTTCTCAATTTGTATGCTAGCCACCTACCTGGTTTATTTGCATCTTCAAAATAGTTCTGTTTGGCACTTCTAATTTTTTGTGCCAACTCCTCTTTCTCCGCCTGACCCATCTTATGTTTAATTATATCCATTTTGAATTTAATATCTTTTTTCTGTGGCATATTCTGCAATTCTTTTTCCAGTTTTTTATAATCATCTTCTAAAGCTTTAATAGTTTGCCTCTTCCTAATATTTTTTTTCTTTGTATAGTCCATTATTAATCCTCTCGCATATGCCTTCATTGTATCCCAAACATTCTGCATTGAAGTATCTTCTTTTTTATTTTTAATGAAAAAGAAGGCCAATTCTTTGTCCATCCATTGTGTAAAGTCTTTTTCCTTTAAGATAGCGTTATTTAATGTCCATCTAGATCTTCTTCTTTGTCCTTTCCATTTAATTGTCATAGGGTTATGGTCTGCCCATATACCCGTTTCTATATTTATTTCTTGAATGTTAGATATTAGTTCTGATGAGGTCCAAATCATATCTATTCTGGACCATGATAAATGTCTATTTGAATAAAAAGTATATTGCTGCGTTTTACCATTTCTTTCTCTCCATATATCTTTTAAATTTAATTCATCTACCATTTTAAAAAAGGATTTAGGGAGAGTCTTTCTATTTTGTTTTAATGCTGTCGCTGTATAGTCCAATTTATTATCTACAATTCCATTAAGATCTCCCATCATAATTATATTGACATGGTCCAGTCCAATTAATTTCATATGTAACTTTTTATAAAATTCTTCTTGTTTATCGTTCGGAGCATAGATTGCAACAAGTAATATTTTTATATTGTTATCCACTATTTCAACCATTAATACTCTTCCATCTTCATCAGTATAAACCAATTTTGCTACAATAGTTTCTTTAATATACAGGACCACTCCTCTTTTCTTACAGTTAGTCAAGGAAGTAAAAATTTTCCCCAGTTTTGGTCTTACCAATAATCGTTGATGTTGTTTTTTAATATGTACTTCTTGTAGGCAAATTATCTCAAATTTTAACTTCTCTAATTTATGAAAGATTTTTCTTCTTTTAATAGCTGAATTCAATCCATTTATATTCATAGAAATCAATTTTTTTTCCTCCATGGTTATGTTTTATATTTAGGTCTAACAGTTCTTGTGGATCTTACTTCACATTGTTCTTTGGTCTCCATTTGTCCACCTATCGCACCTTCTTCCTTCCCCGATCTCATCTGGTCTTCTTGAGGCTCAATTGCAAAGGTTTCTTTTTCTGTCTCTATTTCTCTTCTTCCAAAAAGTTTGTTGTGGAATATTTCTGCTTTCTCAATTGAGTCGATTCTGTGTCTCTGTTCTTGCCATATAAACATTAATCCTTCTGGGATCAACCATCTATAATTCACGTCTTTTTCCAATAATTTTTTGGTCAAAAATCGATATTCTCTTCTCATCTCTCTCACTCTTCTGGGGACTTGTTTTAAAACCATAATCTCTTTACCTTTATATTTCAGCCCCTTATCTCTTGCGACTTGTAATATTTGTGTTTTAATAGTCTTCTTAGTAAATCTGACATGAATCTCCCTTGGTAGCTTATTCCTCATTGCATATCTTGTAAAAACACGATATATCTCATCTACTCCGTCCATCATCTTTTCTTCTGTTATCTCCAAGGCTCCAGCCAGAATTTCTATCATTACAGCCACCAAATCCTGTCCTTTTTCTTCCTCAATATTTTGAAATCTGAGATAAAATTCTGACCTATCCATCTCCCACTTCAACATCCCATTTATATCTTGTTGCACCGTTGTTAATTTGCTAACAATATCTCCAATTGTCTCATCTCTTTGTTTATCTTTCTCCTCGATTTTTTGGAGTCTCTCCTCCTGTTTTGCCATCATCTGTTGAAAGTTTTCAATTTTTTCATCAGTCTTTGCAATTCTTTGTTCAATACTCTCTGTTCTTTGGTCAATGCTTATTTTGAGTTCTTGTATTCCTTGTATAATCGTTGCTAGATCCATTTGTACTTTATCTTGCTTCGCCATTATTGATAGTCGTCCTCCAGTTGATGGAGAAGCAGGAGCAGAAGTTGAACTGCCAGAAGGTAAAGTTTTCTTACTCATTTGAATAACTCAAGATCTTTAAACTCCTTTAATCCAATCAGTAGGGTAGCCAATTATAATCCAATTGGGAAGAAGAAAAACATTTTAAAAAAAGCCAATAAAAAATAAAGAGTCCAGGATTAAAAAGAGAGGGAGAAAAAGAAGTTTAAAAAGAAAAAAAAAGAAGGAGATTCTTCAGGTTCTTCTAGACCTTAATCCTATTGTAAGATGACCAATTATGATTCAAAAATAAAAATTAAGAATAGTAAAAAAAAAAAAAGAGAGTAAGACCCAATAATATTAAAAAAACAATGATCAAAAAAAAAAAGGAAAAAGAAAGAATTCTTCAGGTTCTTCACACCCTAGTCCAATTGTAGAATCTCAAAAAATAAAAAAAAATAACCATAAAAATAAATAAAAAATGAAAATGAAAAATAGAAAAGGCAAAAATCCCAATAAACAAAAGGAAAAAGAAAAGCTATTCTGAGGCTTTCCCTTTAAAAAAAAAAAGTAAGTTTAAAAATTAAAAATAAAGTCAAAAAAAAAAAAAAGAAAAAGAAAATAGAATATACAAATATTACAAAATACTATGGGATTGAGGAGGAGGGATGAAACAGCTAAAGAAAGATAAGAAAAAGAACACACTGCATCTTATTTAGTTATCCAAGGCTCTTATTATGGCTTCTCCACAAATTCCAAAGCCAAACTTCAAGCACTCAATAATAGAAGTTTCAAAGAACACCTGTTAAAACATTCTCCGGTGTTCTTCCCTCTATCTAATCAAGTTCCAGTGTCCTTGAGAAAGAATTCCTTCACAGCTTTTTCAACTTTCAATAAAGTATTTTCAGGCCTCTAGTTGGCAGTGTTACAAAGTTTCTTTAGTCCACTCCCCCTTCTTTCCCCAAAAAGCCTAGGAAAAAGAGGGAAATATACAGGTATATATATATATTTAAAAGAAAAAAAAAATTACTAAAGGGAGCCTCTATTCTCAAAAGGGAGAAAAAAGAAAGAAAAATTAGATAAATATAAAAGGAGAAACCAGTCTAGTTACAGTTACTAGATCACAATAGAAGTTCAATGAAAACAAAAGTAAAAGTAAAAAGCCAAGCCTCAATTTGACATTCTCTCTAAGAAATCGCCGCTAAATCAGTTCCATCAGTTTTTGTCCTAAGTCTTACAGGATTCTTCTCATTTTAGAGTGTCCTTGAATTCCCAAAAAAAAAAAATTCTCACCAGCCGATGCACGTTCTCTCTCTTCCGGAGCTGCCACAGCTTCAGCAGCCAAGGGGGCTGCCTCTCCGCCGATGGTAAAAGGGCTTCTTCTGGATCAGCCAGGGACTTTGCGATGTCCCTGGGATCAGCAGAACGCGCCCCTTACAATCATCGTCTCTACGGGACGATTTAGATCCATAGGACCGACCAGGGACGAAGATATCAGCTGCAATCTCAGAGCCCCAAGATTGCAGCTGTATCGCAGCAACGTGGCTCCGCCTTCTCCTCTTATTTCATGTATCTAAAATTATATAACTATTGTGAAATAGGATATATTTATGTATTGTGTAGTAGCTGAAAATGGTCAGTGGAAGTAAAATTAATAAATAAAAACTGATAACGACAATATTCACCTTTAAATCAGGACATGAGAATTCTGCATATAAAACTTGAGAAAAATCTTTTTGAGCCAAAGGTGAATTCATGTTTCATAATTAAAATTGTAAGAAACAATACTATGAGAAAAGTATCCTGGAATCTCTTGTTTGCATAATTGTTATGAATACAAATCACAACAGACAGAAAAATCTCGAAAAAGAAATTAAGGAAGATTTTTATTTGTTTTTAATTCTATTCCTTGTTCCTAACTGCCTCATTTTATTTCCTGTATCTTTGCCATTTCATTCTGAAACTTAATCTCATGTCAATATGAAATAAGATGTGATTAAGAGCCTCATTTTTTATTTGATGACATTAAACTATATGGGAAAGGAGAACACCTAATAATGATTTTTATAAGAAAAAAATGCATAAAAAATCCAGAACAGATTGGATTTAGATTAGGGAGTTGAAGAAGGAATGTGCCTGCAGTTACCACATAATTTACAATTACAAGATATCCTCAATTTATGACCACAATTGAGCCCAAAATTTCTGTTGCAAAGTGAAACAAATGATTTTTGCTCCATTTTATGATCTTTCTTGCCACAATTGTGATTCACTGCAATTGTTAAGCTAGTACTATGGTTGTTAAGTGAATCAGATTTTCCCATTGACTTTGTTTATCAGATGGTTGCAAATGGTGATCACATGACCAAGGGACAATGCAACAATGAGAAATAGGAACCAGTTGCCAAGCTTCCAAATTTTGATCATGTGACCATGGGGACGTTGCAATGGTTGTATGAAAAACAGTCATAACTCACTTTTTTCAATGCTTTTGTAACGTTAAACGGTCACTAAGTGAACTGTTGTATGTTAAGGAGTACTTGTATTTATTCTTGCTACATTTTAAAGTTTGTATGTATGACTGCTGGCTTTCAGAACTCTATAACTAATTTCTAGATGTTGGAATTTGGTAGTCTATAAATAATACTGAATAATTAAATCTCATTTATAATTGAATAAATTTGGAAACTACCACTAAGTAGTGTACAGAAAGCAGCATTATCATTGGTTCAATTGCTAGTATATGAAATGCTCTTTAATATTACATTTTCAGAGTGCAGTTCTTTTTCTCCACCAACTACTGTGATTCTTCTGATCCTCTTGTGTTTTGAGGCTCTCCTTTTCCTCATTTTCACATCTGTAATGTTTGGAACGCAGGTGCATTCCATCTGCACTGATGAAACAGTGAGTACTTCCTGTCTCTTGATTATTTTGTTCCTTTTTTTAAAGAATAACTTGGTGTGATTTCATTGTCTTTGTCCAAAAAAGAATATGAGGGTGCCAAACTACAATAGAAAATATATTTTATAAATAGCAGTTGGACTTCCTGAAATAAAAATATTAGCAAAGTTTTTCCTAATTTGATGTTCTCCAGACATTTAATTAATTTAGGTGGGAATCTTGTTTGGAAAGTTTGGTATAGGACAAATGTGGATATAAAATGTGGGTATTCATTGCTGATAACTTCTACAATTTTATTTTTTGCTGTTACTGTTGTTCTATTGAACAGTAATACACACATTAATGACTTACAGAGATAATTTGGGCAGTATATATTTGTACAAATCTAGAGGACCTGCAATCCACCATTTCTGAATTAACCAGTTAAATGTTTAGCAGTTAAAGTAGTTGTACATTTCAACATTAATCGGTGCCACTTCTCTTTCAAAGAAAAATTGTTACCTACTATTAGTATCTGGTATTTTTCATAGCATCTGAAAGAAATCTGACTGCCTAGCTTAGAATGTAAGTAGATCAGGCATCTTTTAGCATCTGTTTTATCCATTTTGATTAGCAATGGATGTTGTTGTTTACTTATCTTTATGGGCTCCTAAGGGCTGTTATTTTTTGCAATGTGCTCAAGTTGCCTGGGGTAACAGATAGGAATAAAAGAGATTTTTTAAATATATGACATCCAAACAAATTGAGCCAGTGTTGTCATCTGTTTATTTTGTTTCATGAACTGTAGGAGGTTTGGAAGAAACCTACTATCATGGAATTATGCATACAAATTTACAATAGTTTATGCCAATATTTTTATGCCATGTTCTGCAGAATCCTGAAATGATAGTCAAATAGTTAATCATTTTTGTTATTTTTCTTACAGAGGAAATAATTAAAATTTTGTACATTGAAATGAGATACATAGGTGTCATGTTTCACCAAAATAAGGATGTTGAGATTGCTATCATATAAGTGAGGAACCTCGTGGAACATATTGGCACTTATTTCTGTTGAAGCCTCCTTAGAATTTTTCTATAATAATCTACTCTAGACTCATTTTCAAGTAACTTATATTGAAAAATGCAGAATTATACTCTATTGGAGAAAGAGAATGAAAGATTTTAGATAATTGCTGAAAGTGAGAAATAAATCTGTAGCACTTTAAACAAGGAAAAGAAATCTTGGGAGGGGGGAGTCCTTGTGCAGTATTCAGCATCTCAAATTAGTTATTTCATAAATGTTCTTTGCCTATATTGTTCCCAGTTGTAGAGATTTAATAAGGAAGACTTCAGTCCTAAGAGTTTCAGAATGAAATATTACGTTAAAATGGAATAGAAATTATTTTGCATCAGAATCAGAAAATATATAAAAGCAATAAGTTTCATAAATTCCAGTGTTATACCTAAGGAAGACAGTCCATCATCAACCTCACTTCTTAATGGGGTGAATATGGTAAAAGAAGAACAAAATAATTCAGTATATCTATGCAGCTGATACAGTTGCAACAGTTCCTTTAAACCAGCGGTCGCCAACCAGTGGGCCCCCGGACTACTGGTGGGCCTCGAGAAAATTTTGGTGGGCTGCAGAGAAATGTCACCCCAGAGCACCTCCCCCAAAGCAATTAATCCAGGCTGCGCAGAAATACAAGGCTGCGCTGCCCACATGGCCCACGGGAATCCTCCCCGCCCACTCACTCCTTACCGGGCAAACGTGCTAAATTGCTATTTTTCTTTTTTTTTTTCTTTCCAACCATCAGCTGTTCTGCTGTGCCAGGAGATTTAGATTAGCTAGAAAACAGGAAATGGTTGCATTTCTTGCTTTCTAGCTAGTCTTTAGATCTTCTGCTCTGCTTTTAAGCATAGCCGAACTTAGAACTGAAGGTTCTATTATTCAGTGCAGACTCACGGCAAGCAATTTTATGTGACAGACTGAGCTAGCCGATGGCAGATAGATAGATCACTGAATGATTCTATGAGCAACTCAATCTGCCTGCCTGTTTTGCCTGATTTTGTGTAAAAGTTGCTCTTTTTTAATAAAAAATTCAATATTTATATAAATATTTAAAATATTTACATACAAGCCATGCCCAGGCAGTCACATGACCACCAGGCCACACCTACAAATTAGGCCATGCCCACAGAACCAGATAGTGGGATTTAAAATTATGAGCTTGGTGGTCCCTGAGGTCCAAAAGATTGGCGACCCCGGCTTTAAACCAACACTATAAATTCAGATGCTTATACATGCAGCCATCTTTAGGGAATAGTTTACAGCTCTACTGTTGTGACCTTTTTTTTTTTCATTTTATCTATTTTGTGAACTTAAAATGCTTTCAATTCATTAGCTTTTGCATAGTAAAAAAATATCCTTTCACTTTTTTGGTGGCTATTTTAAAGTTTGTTTTTCCACTTTTATTTTATTTACTTACTTACTTATTTATTTATTTTTGAGATGGGAATACTAGAATTTTGCACAAAATTTGAAATGTGACCATGCCATTGGGTTTTATATGAAGGCAGGTGGCAGCATCTAATCTACCTCAGTTTTCTGAAAACAATTTAAACTGCTAAGATTACTCCAAGAAACCCAGGGATATGGACTAGCTTTCCCAGAAGGTGGCAGTGATAAACAGCTTCCACATTTTTGCCAAAATATTAATAGATGAAAAGTCATCATGAATTGAACTCAACTCAAAGACATCATCATCATTTACAATGATTCCAAAAGTTTACATTGAAGTGCACTGCAAAGTAGAATGGCTAGTAGTACTTGAGAATCTCCTCAGTGTATACATATAAATGAATTATTTTCTTCTGTTCCTATATAATTTTACATATGTGTTACTTGAAATGTCACTGTAGTATCTATTCATCCAATTTGGAAAAATAATTCATAAAATCATCTGTTTTGTATTTTTGATCAAGCAGGGTATGTGGCGCATATTACAGCCTCAGCCACCTCACTGTATATCCTACTCAGATATGAAAAATCAAATGTGACTATTGTAGTTCTTTTAAGAAAGTAAATTCTATTGTTCATGTACCTTCACTTGAACACCGCTCTTTTCCCACTCTTCTTAACCATATTTTGAACCATGAAAGGACTGGTTGCCAGAGATTGGCCTGCTTTTTTTGCCTACAGGATGACTAAATCTGTTGACTGATGGAGGGGAAGTTGCTCAAGGCATGTACAACATATTTATATTCTCTTAGACTAAGAAACAATTGATAGGAATAGGATGGAAGGGTGCTAAAAATCGAGTTTTATCAAAAATCTTTTGGCACTCTCAAATTTACTGTGGTTGTATTTAGACTGCAAGACTCAGTGAGCTATATGTGGCATGATATAGAAGCATTAGTAACCCTGAGAAGTATGCTCTACAATTGCATGAAATGAAATTAGAGGTCTTTGTTCCTGGTTTATAGCTAACTGTACTTTTCTATATTGTATCAAACTATGCTTCATTATCCTGCAGCCCAAGCAGAACACATCAAACTTAGCCCAAAATGTCCAGTGGACTATTGCCACAATTCTGAGTTTCTTTTAAAGTATAGAAGCCCAGTATATTTCTGCAGCCTTCTTTTAAGCCAGGGGTGTCAAATTCAATTTCATTGAGAGCCTCATTAGGATTGTGTTTTACCTCAGGGGACTGGGGTGGGTGCGGCCGGGGTGGGCATGGACAGCTCAACATCATTCGTGTTGGGGGCACCTGTGGTGGCCAAGTGCTAAGGCAGGACTTCCCTCAGATCCCCGCTCCCTCTCTGTCATTATAACCTTCCTTCCCTCCCTTCCTCCCTCCCTCTACATTCTCCTTTCTTCTTCCTTCCCCTCTTTCCTTCTTTTTCCTTCCTTGCTCTCTTCCCATCTTTCCTTTTTCTTTGTCTTTCCTTTTTTCCTTTCCTGTTCCTTCTTAAATGCTCAAATGCAAAAGGGGAAACATTTCTTTTTAGTTTGTTTTGCTAGCCCTCTGGCAGTGAAAACGGAGCCCAGCTCATGACCCTCTCAAGTTCCATTTTCACTGGCAGAGGCAACGTGGGCCAGTCCTTCAATGTTTCCAGGGCGCACTTAACCACCTTTTCAGGAGTGAGTGCGCAGGAGGGGGGGGGTGTCTGGCAGCAGGGGCTTGGAAACTAGCCCTCCAAGAAGCAGGCATGACAGTGGAAGCACCGGTAACATCAGCAGGAGGCACAGTCAGGGAGGAAGCACATATTGTGGACCACCAGACACATCTGGTCCATCCCTTTTGCCTCTCCCCTGTGCCTCTGGCTCTGCCTATTACCACCACGGGCCAAGACAAAGGTGAGGAGGATATGGGGCGGCTGCTGCCAGGCACCATCAGTCCACCTACTTCTCCGGTCTGTTTTTGCTTGCATTTGGAGAGCAGATTGCCACTGGTCATCTCCTTGGCCATTCAGCCCCCCCCAGGTCTTGCCTTTGGCCTGCACGTGCACCTGACGCAACTCAGCACCACTGTGGGCCGCTGCCACCAGTAAGGCTACTAGCAACTCATGCAGGTCCATTAGGCCGCTACTATCACTGCCTGGAGCACCAGGCCTTCCCAGCACAAAGGGGGTGAAATGGCCAGCTAGAAAGGCTGAGTAGAGGTAGTAGAACATGCCCAGGCCCAGCAGGCAAAAGTCACCACCACGAGTGGAGAAAGTTGGATCTCCATTGGCGCCATGGCCGCCCGGGTTCAGTTGGTATCACATGCCTCCCTTCATCTCTGCTGGGTCTGGGCAGCCATGATGCCGATGGAGATCTGGCTTTTCCCACTCGCAGTGGCCATCTTTTGCCTGCTGGGTCTTCTACCTCTGCTTGGCCTTTCTAGTGGCCACTTTGCCTCCTTCAAGCTGGGTGTGCCTGCTGAGTGGCGTCAACCCACAGCGGGGCCAAGGTGCATCAGGTGCCTAAGAGGAACATGCTCCTTGTGCAGGCCAAGGGCAAGACCTGCAAGTGGGTCG